AGGCATGGCCATGGCTCCAGAGGCAAAAGGACTTAATCCAGAGCCTGGCAACTTGCGGCAGAAAAGTGAATGGACCATGTGTCAAACTATGGCACCATGCCTCCCCAGGAGGGAAAGGGTGTTGCTCCCTTTGGCCTCCCCTTCTTCCCCCCTGCCCAGGAGCAAGGTTGCCACCGCCTCAGAGCTTATGTGACGGGGCAACTGCAGTCTCATGGGAAGGGGGACAATACCGGCTCGTCCTTCATGCCCTACCGAATTCACGAGTTGCCCCCCCATGAGCGGCTTTCAGGCACGGCCATGGCTCCAGAGGAAAAAGAACTTAGTCCAGAGTCTGACATCTTGCGGCAGAAAAGTGAGTGGACCATACGTTCAACTATGGCGCCAAAGGGTGTTGCTCCCTTCCGTTTCCGCCGCCACCCCCCCCCTCCCCACAGCAGCAAGGTGGCCGCTGCCTCAGAGCTTATAGGAAAAGCCAGGTATGAGCCAGCAGTGACGGGGCAACTGCAGTCTCATGGGAAGCGGGGCGGTACTGGCTCGTTCTTCACCCCCCACGAGTGGCTCTCCGGCACAGCCATAACACCAGATGCACAGAAAACAATCTCGTAATGATCTGGCTCTTTGTAGAAATCCAAAATCATTATATGACATTATGTGATTCTCATACCAGCTATAGAAAACAAAGTATTTCACAATGCCTTTTCAGCAATTCTGATTGTTGGGGCGGGGGGGAACTCTAAATAATAATGGTGTATCTTTTGTTGAAATAATGAATGTAATCAATGTTGAGAAGAGTTAAGTAGAAATCATCTGCCTCACAGGAATTGGGAGGGGTGGGAGGGGGGTATATTGGGGTTCTTGGTGGTGAAAAATGAGTACTGGTGAAAGGATAGGTGTTTGATCATTGTATGACTGAGACTTAAACCTGAAAGCTTTGTAACTTTTCCCACAGTGATTCAATATATAAAAAAATAAAATTATGAAAAAAAGAAAAGTAAGGTGGAGTTCATGCCCAATTTAATCAGCTAATCAGTGGCTGAATAAATAGCAGTACTCCTACATAAATCAAACAAAATATATATATTTGTATTTCTAATTCATCCATTTTTATATGATGATCTAGTCTGACCTCATAATTTTATTCTCTTATTTATTTATGAACCAATAATACCTTTCTGCCAATTCTCCAAGCTGCTGGTTTTACAAGTCATACCATATCATTTTCAGTTTCTTTTTTGTTATAAAGCTATATAATTTTCTAGGAAACTAGTAGATACTCTGTTGGTTAAGTGGGCCTGATGGCATAGCTTTTGGTTTGTTTTAGAGTTTCACTTTTTATTTTACTCTACACGTAAAAGTGCAAGTTATTTTTTTCTAAATGAACAATCATTTAACCAGTTAAATAAGTCACACACTACTGTAGTTAAATATCAATAAACTGCTGGAAAGAAAGATGGCGGCCGCACGGGAGCCTTGTGGACAGCAGGTTTGAGCCGGGGGCGGGGGGCAGCAGGGGCCTCATGGGAAGGGGGGCGTTCTGGGCCGTCCTTCACGCCCGACCGAGGTCGCCAGCTGCCCCCCACGAGCGGCTGTCCGGCACGGCCACGGACCCGGAGGTGCAAGGACTTAGCACAGAGAACCAGCGGCTTGGAGCAGAAAAGCAAATGGACTATGTGTTAAACCGCGCCACCAAACCTGCCCGGTGGGGAAAGGGTGTTGTCCTGCTCGCCCGCTCCTCTCTGCAAAGAAAGATGGCGGCCGCACGGGAGCCTTGTGGACAGCAGGTTTGAGCCGCGGGTGGGGGCGGCAGGGACCTCATGGGAAGGGGGGCGTAATGGGCCGTCCTTCACGCCCGACCGAGGTCGCCAGCTGCCCCCCACGAGTGGCTCTCTGGCACGGCCACGACTCCAGAGCACAGAAACCAATCTCTTAACTATCTAACTTTTAATAGAAATACTTCCAGGGTTAATAAGTGAAACAGCAGAAATCCAAAACCACGCGGCCGCTATCAGGGCCGTGCGACATCATTTTATTCTTAAACCAAGCTGTAGAAAGCAAATCATTTCACAACACTGTTTCAGCATATCTGATTGGGGGGGGGGGGGTCGTAAACAATAATTGTACATCTTCTATCGAAACAATGTATCTAGTCAAAGTAGATAGAGTATTAACTAGAACTCATCTGCCTCACAGGAATTGGGAGGGGTGGGAGGTGGGGTTCTATTGGGGTTCACGGTTAAAAATTAGTATTGGTAAAGGGAAATGTGTTTGATACTTACATGACTGAGACCTAAACCCGAAAGCTCTGTAACTTTTCCCACAGTGATTCAATAAAGAAATAAACTATTAAAAAATATATCAATAAACTGATTCACTATTACGAAGTGTGCTTTCTTTTTTTGTCTTTTTTCTGGGGAGGGGGTGGAAATGGCAGTTTGTGCAGAGATCAAAGCCAGTGACTTACACTAACAAGGCATGTGTGCTACCAGTGAGATCCATTTCCACCCTGAAATATATATATATATACATATATATATATATATATTTTAAAGGGACATGTTCCCTTTGATAGTAGAATAGGTCTTTTATTTTATTTTTTAAAACTTAATGTCAGGTCTACAGTGAGTCCCTTCCAAGTCAGAGGATCATAAAGTTAGAAATGACCTCAGAGAGCATGTAATTCAAATTCTTTCTTCTATAAAGGAGGAAGATAAGATTCTTCAATGAGGTCAGGACAGGTTGAAAGACTTCTCTGAGATTATATACCAGGTTAGTAGCAGAATTAGAATGAGGATTTCTCCTTTTATTGAAACAAAAGATTCCACTTTATAATATTTCTTACTATTGTTTTTATGCTTCAGACTGTAAATTCTGACTCCATTATAATTTGGATTAAAAAATGACTTCCCAGTTATCCTCAAAGTATACTCATCTTGTTATTTAAAATGTGCTTCTCAGGTCTGGAGCAATAGCACACCGGATAGCGCGTTTGCCTTGCACACGGCTGACCCGGGTTCGATTCCCAGCATCCCATATGGTCCCCCGAGCACTGCCAGGAGTGATTCCTGAGTGCAGAGGCAGGAGTAACCCCTGAGCAACGCCAGGTGTGACCCAAAAAGCAAAAATAAAAAATTAAATTAAAAATAAAGAAAAAACGTTTAAAAAAAATAAAACTGCCTCTCATGAGGCAGGCAGGTGGGTGGAGGGAAAAGGGGGCTGTGTGTGGGGGGGGGGCAGGGCCAAATGACAGAGGGAAGAGGATATTGGTGAAGGGATTTTGTTTAGACATTGTATTCCTGAAACACAATCATGAATAAATTTGCAATTCACAGTGATTTAATAAAAAAATTAAAAACATTTACTCATCTAGAAATAAAGAGCACATTAGTTGAGTCTAGATGAGTTAAAAATTTGCAAGAACCGTATTCATTCACCTATCAAGAGGTAATTTGATGAAAAACAAAAAAAAATAGGGGTCACCCCCCGTGGTGCTAAGGGGTGCAGGCATGACCCTTGAGTGCTGGGGGGCCAATAGGGCTGCACCTGGTAGTGGTGGTTGGTGGGAGAACTAAAGTGTTAGGGATTGAACTCAGGACTTTGCACGTGCTTCTTGTGTGCGCTAAAATTTGAGGTATCCCTCTGGTTTGATAGAGCTAACCTCTTAAAAATGTTAAAGTACCTTTTATATACACTAAAAATATAACTAATTTTTAACTTATTATAGTATCCACCATTGAACCTTGAACAACATGGTTTGAACTGAGAGTTCACTGACACATGGATTTTTTCATCCTTATATTATTTAAGATCACTTTATTTATTATGATAGTGTTAATTTCCCCTAGAAGACAGCATGAATAACTGGGCAGATTAAATACATAGATCAGAAACACTTAGAAAAGATTTCTAACAAAGAACACTTATATTCTCTATGCCATGAAGTCTGAACTTCATTAAACCTGGTGATGGCTTGGTACTCTATTCACTGACTTGGACCAGCAGTGGATCCTTTGTCTAAACGAGACCAATATCACTCTCTCTCCCGGAAACTAGTAATAGCCTGCCAACCTTGGGATGCACTGCTTTGAACTCTAATGGGAAGCAGAGAAAGCTGGAGAATGAAACAGAAAGGAGGAAGCAAACAGAGAATGATCTTGGATATTGTTTGGTTCTCTCAAGGCTCTCCATTAACTGGTCTCAGGCATCTCCTGAAGTCTGACTGACCTTGGCTTCCAGGATATAGGTTATATACATAAGGTATTCTTTATGGACAAATCCATTCCTCTTCCTCCTTTTTTCCTTTCCTCTTCCATTTCCCTCTTTTCTCCCTCCCCATCTTCTCTTGTATTACTAGAAAAGTGGTTTTCAATATGTGCAATCAGTGAGTCTTAATTCACACACTGTGTTATAGATACACTTTAAAATGGGAACTATGATCCTCATGTTTTGATCCATTTACAGGACAAATCACGATACAAGGTGAGGGAGCTTGATAATGAGATGCATTTAGATTATGAGATACATTACAATAACAAAACCCGCGGATGAAGCTCAAGGTAGGCGAATTTATGATAAATTTCTAGAACGTACTAACCATCATATATCTATCAAAATGGGATATCTATGCAAATTGAATAACAATGAATAAATTGATGCTTAAAGAGCACTTGCTCTGTGCCAGGAACTGTGATAAGATTTCTTTATATTTTAGTCCATTGGTTCTCCTCAAAGTAATAGGCACTGATTACTGTGAGTTAAATGTCTTGCTCATAGTTCTATAACCAGTAAAAGGCAGAGATGCTATTAAAAAAAGGTAAACTCTAAACCATCAGACTACAGTCCAAATTAAAAAAATAAACTGAGCTATGATTGCTAAAGAAATAAAAACCACTTCACTTTGGAAGTTTGAAAAAACAACTTCATGGAACCAAGAAAAATTCATAATCTTAAATATAACCTTTAAAAAACCAAACCAAACCATTGAGATTATTGATGATTCTTACCTGGGGTTAGAAGGAGAAGGTGGATTCATTTCTTTCTGATAATGACGGCCCTGGTTGACAGGCTGTAAGAGACAAAATATTTATGAGATACTAATCAGCATAATGCTCTTTACATATACTTTCACATGCATTCTCATTACTCTCACTTTTCCACAAGAAGCAATCTGCAAGAAGGGACTGGATATATTTCATAGACGAGTCAAAGGCTATTTGGGAGATCCAATAAATAACAAGTGGTACAAATAAGAAAACAGGTTATTTTAATGGCCTGTCCTGGACTAGATATGCTCTACTGTATAATTAAAGTTCTTATGTGGAAATTTCCCTGTGAAAATTGTATGCTGCTAACATTGGTTGATATTTCCAGATAGAGCAAAAACAAAGCAAGATAACTCGTGTAACTAATGCAGCACAGCAGTATCAGCAGTAATTCAGAGACTGAGAGATACAGAAAATATATTCATATCTCAAACAAGTGTGCAAAGATAACTTCTATTATCATTAAAGGAACTGCACAAGTAATTCTTATTTCAATGAGCTCTTTTTCCCCGAGTATATAATAAGATTTCAAGCTTCAAACAAACAACTAAAATATAATGCCAAAGCTAACGAAAATATGAAATGTCAATTTCCCTGCACAACCTTTCCTTTAAAAAATATTTTTTGGGTCACATCCAATTATGACTGGGGGCTACTTCAGATGGTGCTCGGTGGAGTGTGTGATACTGGGGATGCAAAACACGTGCTCCAGCCCTTTGAATTATCTCCCAGGCCCCACAAGAAATATATACATGAAAAAAAGGATTGCTAAAAAATTTACATCCCAGGTAGCCTAAACCACTTGCCACCATCCTATCTGGATCTCTTCCCTTTGTTCTATAAAAATATTGAGGACCATTTCATTACATTTGATATAAATTCTATTTTCAAGCATCAACTCAATGTATTTTTCTTTTGTGGTTAACAACTATGTTATTTTAATGTGAAAGAAAAACATTCTCATCTTATTAAAATTTAGAATTTGGTATGTGCTTTTTCATGCACATTTTTGAATTACATTCAAAGCGCCTTAGTTACTTCCCTCTCAATAACGTTGGTATTAGGATTTTTTTCACTCACAATACATCCTGACAGTGATGATCCAACCAAAGAAATCAGTTTAGCACTGGTACCTGCACACAGGCCCATATTAATTATTTTCCACAAATTTCTTATTTTCTAAACATTCCCTATTTTAATGGTCCCTAAAATATTAATGATGTGGGTGATGGGAATTCTTCAGAGTAAACTGTCTTCAACAATAAATAATCTCTTGGAAGTGTTCCTTTAATTTAAATCAAACATCCTGTCTGATTATCACAGTCACTTAGCCTGACTATCTGTGATGCGCCATGAATTTAAATGTACTCAGATACTTTGGTAATTGAACCAATATCAATGCATCACCATTTTAGTAATAAGAAACAACAGCTGGGAGAACAGTGGAAGGAAAAACATGTCATAAGACATATTTGATCTCACTGGAGAAATAAGACTTTCAGCAATTTGCAAGTGAAATTTAGTTCTGTGATTTAGGCTTTATTATTTCATAGTAAAAAGAAATTAGCAAGCAAAAGCCCTAACAGGTTCTTTAGCCCAACTAGCACTGGTGCAGAAAATACTCCTGATAATATATTCATTGGCATTCATTCCATATTTTCAGCTATATACAGGCCTTCAGTGAAAGAACCTTTGCCTATTTGCTTCAAAGTCATTTCCATAACTCTAAGTAAGCATCATAGTCCTGGTATTCAAATCCCTCTTTTCCTGCCTTTTTACCATTAATTCTATTGGCATCTCTCCCCCACCCCCCTTGTTTCAAAGGACTTACTCCATTTGGTGGAGAACAGAAATTGTTATAGAATCCTATCTGGTTTGTGACTCAGCACTCATTTAGACTGTTTTTTTTTCCCCCTTGTGCTTATATTTATATGAAACAGCTTCGAAAGTATGAGAAGACATCGAGTGATTATTTTTTTACTATTAGAAAATCAAAAATAATCACTGAAAAAAATTTTAATGGCTGCCGACATGAATAGACAGAAGTAGGGTTTAAAAAAACACAAAACATTTCAAACAAGTAGCCTAATGGAACGTGTACTGAATACCAGTTTCTTTTTCTTTTTCTTATTTATTTATTTATTTATTTATTAGTGAAACATCATGAGGTACAGCTGTAGACTTACAAATTTTTGTGCTTGGGTTTCAGTTATACAATGATCAAGTACCCATCCCTCCACCAGTGCCCATTTTCCACCACCACGGGTCCCAGCATCCCTCCCACTCCCCATCCCCCCCCCCCCCCCCCCCCATCACACCCTGCCTCTGTGGCAGGGCATTCCCTTTTGTTCTCTCTCTCCTTTTGGGTGTTGTGGTTTGCAAAAGAGGCAATGAGTGGCAATCATGTTTGGTCTATAGTCTACTTTCAGCATGCTTCTTCCATCCTGGGAGGATCCTCCCAACACCCTGTATTTGGTGCTCCCTTCTCTATCTGAGCTCCCTTTTCCCCTAGCATGTGTGTCTGGCCTCCAAGCCATGGAGCAAAATTCCTGGTACTAATCTCGGCCATTCTTGGGTGTTAGTCTCCTATTTTGTTACTTTATGTTCCCCAGATGAATGCAATCTTTCTATGTCTATCCCTCTCTTTCTGACTCATTTCGCTTAACATGATACTTTCCATGTAGTACCACTTGTGAATACCAGTTTCTTATCTTCAGTTTTACCACTGTAAACTAATTACTAATTTTTCACCCTGGAACATTTCATTCAACAACCAACTTAAATTTAATACTGAAAATCATGGTAGAACACTCTTATTTATAAATGTAACGACTACAAACTGATTTCAAAACCCCAATTACGAAAGACCCAGTGGGGAAGTTTTACTTTCAACCAGATATCATACAAACTTGGGTGACCCTAACTCAATAGCTCAAGATATTTCCCAATTTCAAGATCACTCAAAAATAGTAAGGAATCAGGAAGGGACCACAGCAATGATGCAGCTAAAAAGCTACAAAGTATTTCAGTTTTCGTAACTTTGCTTAGATTCTTTGTAAGGGCAGTGCTTTTATTTGGACGAGGTCTTTCTGTTTTCCTCAGCCCTAATCAAAATGAATGAGAAGGTGACTAATGGTTTCTAAAATCTCTCTGAAAATGGTGGGTTGGGGATGGAAAGATAAGATGGTCTGTCTGAAGCCATACACATCCATAAATGAAAATAAAAACATTTCTATACATATTTAGCAGTTAACCTCTTCTGCATATTCTTTCTCTTTTCCTTTATTCTATTTCTATTTTTTCTTTTCTTTTCTTTTCTCTCTTTTCCTTTTTAGCCTCTCTTTTCTTTTTTGTCACTAAATTCACAAATCATATAATGTTCCAACACTAGCCTAAATTGGAATTTATTTACCACTTGATATGTGTTAAATTCTACATAGGTAATATCTCATTGATATTCATATATCACATGATCCTCACAGCAATTCTATGAAAAAAATTGGCCTATGAACTCCATCTTGTAGAATACAAAAGAGGCTGGAGCGATAGAATACCAGGCAGGTCTTTTGCCTTGCACGCTGCTGACCTAGGTTTGTTCCCTGGCATCCCATATGGTCCCCAGAGTGCTGTCAAGAGTAATTCCAGAGTGCAGTCAGGAGAATCCCCTGGACATTACCAGGTGTGGCCCAAAAAGCCCCCCACCCTCCAAAAAAGATTAGATTCAGACTAGGTGTTATTCAAAGATTGTGCCACTTGCTTCAGTCAGAAAGTAACAGAGTCACATTTTGAACCCAGGTAGTCTGAATTCATAGTTCAATATCTCAACCACTAGGCATTAGTGCTTAGGCCAAGCTAGGAATAACCTAAAATTGTGAATAGCTAAGTCTTTAAACAATAAGTATGAAAAAATGAAAAACTCAATTTCGTTTATAGTAAAGGATGAAAAGAAATTCTAAAAAAAAATGTTAATTTGAAAAATATAAGACTACCTTCTTACAGTAAATTAAATTAATTTTTGATATAAATGACATGTCATAATGTTTAAAAGAAAAATTAATAAAATAATTTAAATTTGGGACAAATGAAAGTAGTGGATATTCTGAGAACGAGAAAAGTTTATTTTATAGGGTGACTTTCATAGACACTAACTGCAGACTAATGTGCACATTTCAAATTTTCTCTAGACAGCACAGATATGACAATGACTCTACTACAAATTTTTGTAGAAAAATATCATTTCTACAGTAGATAATAACATCTACTAATCTGATTTATCTGTAACTTAGTTTTTAGTTCTGGAAAATTAAAAGAAAACTCACTATTCCCCAAGAGAGCTGAGAGCTAATGACACTGGATCTCATAAGAAATTAACACTGCATGTCATAAGAAATTAACACCTATTAGCTATACAGAGGCTGGAATACCTATTTATGTTGTATATTGGACACAGCAGTGAGCAATCATGTAAAATGATGATACACTGTTGAGTGAAGAAATGGAACAGATCCTAGAAACTCAGAACCTCGTCCTTTTGGTGGCGCTGTTGATATATCAATAGTGCTGGAAAAACAACACTCAGACAAAATTAACTGCCACAGAGACTTGATCAAGCCACTAGAAATTTAGGTGTGAGGGAGAGGAGTGAAGGCTAAATAAAAGAACAGGAGATAAGATAAGCCTGCCATGTTAAAAAGACAATATTTTTATGTTGTTATGTAAAAATCTAAGAAAATGGTAATAATATTGCAAGGTTAATCCAGATCATAAATAACTTGTCTGAGAACCTCACCATATGCTTGTAATTTTATTAAGTGCATTTTCCTCCAAATATTATGCTCTGGAAAGTGCCAGGATGATGGATGTATGTGATGAACTTCTAACTACCAGCCCCCACCCCTACCTCAATCTCCCTTCCACCCCACCCCACCACACACACATACACACACACACACACACACACACACACACACACACACACACACAAGCATAGGAGATGTATATGCTTGATGTTAAGTAATGGGAA